GTATGATCAACGCGCGCGCGCGCGCGCGTTCGTTTCGCGGACGGGAACGGAAGGGTTGAGAGACGCGCGAGAGGCGGCCGAGAAAAATTAAAGTTCGAAACAGACTAGACTAAGGAAACGGAAAGAACGACGCGACGCGACACGGGCGGAGGCTGCGTAGAGACTAGACGCCTCGCTCGCCGCGAAGCGACGAAGCCTGGCGGCTCGCGAACGCTCGGCCGTCCTCGGCCGTCCTCGGCCGAGCTCGGTTGCGCTTGCCTCGAGACGAGACGAGACGAGACTCGCTCGACTGCGCCTACGGATAGACGCGACGCCGCGCACAGCGAGAGCGTATCGCGGATTCGTTTTCGCCCCGATTCTGATTTCGCGCGTCGCCAAAATTTCCACAGGCTTGCATATATTAATGACACTGATTTCCAAATATTTTTTTCATTATTTTTCTATCTTACCGATTGGAATGCTCGCGGTTTCTGCGATTGCTATGCGATTATATTTTAATAATTGCGTATGCAACTTATTTTACGTGATTTTGACAGATCGAATCGTGTCAAAGTAAACTTATTAAATGTTTTATTAAATAGCGGAAAATGTAAAACATTTTTTTTATTATTATATAACTTTAATGCAAGAAAAATAATAGATATGTATATTTGTATTTTATTTTTCTAGTGAGAATTTTTGATGTAAATGTTATGACGCTTACATTACATTCCTTGCATTAAATATATATATATATATACATAATAAAAAAATGTTTATACATTATATATATATAATTTTATAAATAAAAAATGCATATATATCCTAATATAAAACTGAAGATACCCAAGTATTACATAATATATGACAAGAAACTGAAAACTTTTTTTAACGTGCAAAGTCTGCGTTTAATTGCAAATTTTTCGATCCAGTTTCATCAACCCAGTTCTGAACAAAGGGAAGGTGCATGTACATACTTCAAATCTCAACTACGCTTCCCTTACTGGCCCTTCAAGGTTTTTGACCCTCCCAACGCACTATGATATCATATCGAGATAAGGGTTTCCCTCTCGTCTTTTACACCGTCCGTACTTGACCACAAGTTCGCGGAAACCCGTACAATCTTTGCACGATATCATATATAAAAAAATCATCCTAGATAAATATCAGAAAATATACATATGTCAAGAAGAAAAAATCCTATGAATTAATAATATCGCTGTAATCGTAAATATATACAAAATTATTTCAAAGAATAATTAAAAGAAACAAAAAATACGAGACGTTTGATACAAGTAATCAGAGTTGTTCGTTCATGAACAACGTATAAGGATCCAATTAATTGTAACTACGTCGAACATCGCGATATTGCGGCTATACACTTGGATAAAAATAAATTTGATCTACATTCCGTATTTCGCGAGAGAAGTACCACATTTCTCCCTTGCGAGCTCGAATAAGCTTGTAATCGCGGGAAACGAATCAAAGTAGCTGCATCCCTGATCTTAGCTCGAGCCGGTCGGTCTCCAAAATGATTACGGCCTGAAATTATAACACTGTCTCTGACGAAACGGACCGAGTAAGACTTGGCTACGGTGCCAATGAATGATGTTTGCGTGTGTGCAGCAATGTTTTCGAAAATTTATTTCCGCCACGCGAAGCGCAACAAATGTTAATCGAGACGAACATCGGAATACGTACTTTTACGAAGGAATAATATAATATTGTGACACGGCCGATCATGAAAATGGAATAAATATATAGAATAATTTTACTCAAAATACGCGAAAGAGTTGGGAAAGCGAGATTGAAAACGGTTGGATAAAAGCTGCTCCACTCGCGTCTCTCTGATCCGCGTCTTAACAAATTAATTCGCAAAGATAATTCACATTGTAGAGTAAAATCCTTTGAGATTTATCCGGCACTTTTGTAATGCGATCGCGGAAAAGAATGGAAGGAAGTCTCACGGGTCGCGCCCATGACCATACCTAATGCCGAGCATCGTCACTGGAGAATCTATAACGTTTGGTCAAGGTGGAGAACAAAAGGGGATAAAGTTTAGACTAGGGCACGGTTAACAACAGATGCCGGGCATATGCAGAAAAAAAAGCAACGTACATATGTACGTGTACGTACGTACGTATTATTGCACGCGCATGCAATTCCCCTCGAAATCGTGAGCTCTTTTTAAACCATTCAACCGGTCAACTGACTTAAAAAAAAGATCTAATCTTTTATATCCCCAACGCGGCTATAATATTAATTATTGTTAAATATTCGAAGAAATATTTGACCATTAAATTTTTTATGCGACTGCATACTTTGCGCTTTTACAAAATAAATACAAAATTATTGATCATATATGATGATGTTGATTTAAATTCATTTGTGGCTATTAATATAGCGGATCCGCATTGCAGTCTACACGTTAGGCTAAAAATAGCTAAGCAAATATTCAATCTGTGTTTGAGACAAATACTAGGATTATTCAACGGGGTATTAAAAAATGCGAAAAATACACCGGTCACGTGGCGAACCCGTGAATCATTCCTGTCGACAAACGCAGACCTCTCACCCTCTTTAGTTTAGTCACAATCCAGCTGTCGAAGCTACGTTTTTCGGGGGTAGACCCCCGGCATCATCGATCTGGCACGGCGGGCACGAGTATAATTCAATACGGGGCTCTATACCTCGTGAACAATAATTCCGTCCGGCAACTTTTTCTCGGGGTCATCGAACCCTTAACGAGATTCCGTCGATACCTCCGACTTGAAATCGATTTGGCCTTACATCGGTAGAACAAAGTTATTTAGAAGTACCGAGAAACACTGGCGAGTGAATATAGCAAAATGTTTATTGATTTAAAAACGAGATAGTTTTAGCTTCTATTCCTGTAAAACGTAATTACATGCATGCCCGAGAATATAAATATATATATATATATATATATAATTGTGGTATTTCAGACAGTGCAAAAATAACTTATTTATATCATTTGTTTTAACATTTACCATGCAGCATCGAGTTTTTACGGTGAAAACCGTAGAATATAAACATGATAGATCGGTAAAGATATTTTAGTCGCGTTGATATCGATCGAATGATTAAAAATATAAATACATAATAAGAATCTGCTGTGTGTTTGCAGAAAAAAATAATGACTGCGTTCTTGAGATTAGATTAATTTTTTTTTATTTGTAACGCGTGCAAGTAAATATCTATAGATAGCAACTAGCGAGAAAGTTTTAACATCCGTGATTATGGATTAGCGAAAGTATTTAGAGATACCGCACAAGTTCTGTAATAGCTTGTTAAATGTGATAAAAACAAATAGTTTTAACTTTGACATTCTGTGTCATTTTACTTCGCTATTTGAATCCTGTATATAATATAATGCACTTATCAACTGAAATTATTTTAAAGTCTCATTGTCAGAAGAAAACTTTCTATTTGTAATATATTTAGATTTAAATGTTCGAGAATTATTTCCAATTTTTAAATTTTTTAACTAAAATTTTGCGCTGAAATATCGAAGAATTTTTTTTTCTTAGAGAAGATTCATTAATTCGTGCAACGTTGTGTAACGCCAAGATTATATCAGCTTAATTTCTCGCTCATTTTTTGCGGGAAAAAATCATCGGTAAAGCATGAAGTGTGTGCATTAATTAAAATCCCGATGAGTGACTTTTCATCATTAGTCACAGATAATTGAAATTTATAATCACCGATTTAATATAATAATGACTGATATTTACGTTTAATTTCAATTAAGTTTAAATTGAATATATCATGAGATATCTTACAACAGACTAGCTTAAAAGTAACTTGTTGTTAATGAAAAGACTATGCAAATTACTCCTTTCTCTCCGTTTATTTGTCCGTAAATTCAAGATTCGCGGGACATAATTAAATTCAGCGTATATAATCGAACCAGAGTATCAGAGACACGATAAATTAATTTTTCAATAACCATGTAAATTCATTACCAGGCAAACAAGTTTTGCGAGCGATCGCGTAAATTTATTATATATTTCCTATATTTCGAGCAATACACGATTACGTGGTCGTCATACACCCGCAACATGTTACGTCGTATATACATACGCGCGCGATACGCATACATCAAATGCGTATATGTGCGCGTTTCTACAAGGCAATATTGTACACACACGAAGCATCGAAGAGAGATAGACAGAGAAGCGCGGAGAAGCATTGATTGGTCGGTGGCACGATGGAACATTGCAGCTATCCTGGGGGTATATGAACCCCGATATATATGTATATACATACATATACATATATATATATATGTATATATATATATATATTATATATATACGCTTTTCTCTCTCCGTCATTCCCTTTCTCACCCCCTTTCCCTCTCTCTCGCTCTCTCATACTCGTCTCTCGTTTACCCTCGCTACGATTTTACCCCGTGGTAAAACGCAGGCGCATCACATGGACCCAGGAGCGATCAATACGAGGTTCCCCAACCAGACCTAGTCTCTCTCTCTCTTTCTCTCCCCAGTCCTCTGTCTCTTTCTCCGTCTCTCGTGATTCTCGCCACCATCTTTTAACCACCCTTTGCAAAATCGCGGCCAATCTTTGATATTTTGGCGCCGGTCCGAAAATTTCACGGACGCTAACACGAAATCGATCGTTGTCGATCGATTCCTCTCACACTTTTCATTCATTCTCCCTGTCCTTTGCACGAGCTCAGCTCGAGAATATTATATATACATATATGGATATGAAAATTATACTTAAAAAATATATGCTTAATTATTAAATATCTATTTGCGATGTGTGTTACACATGTACGAGATTTGAAGTTCGAATTTGTTCGTACGAACAAATCTCATCATATGCGATTCGTGTTGTCCCAAAGAGTAGGAAATCTAATCTGGCGTCCGTGTTCAATTACCTAATAGCAACCTGGTAAAAAAAGAAAAAAGGAAGCGATATCAAACCGATCTTCACCGGCTTTATCGCCTAACTCTCCCCCTTTTTGGCTCACGCACCATTGTAATCGAGGCCATCGCGGACGGAAGTGTCCCTCTCGAGACATCCTGCTTGTCCTCGACAAGGACCCGCAGGGCCGCCGGTCCTCGCTCCATTCCGGATCTGCTTGACGCTTCATCATGCATCGCGAAAGCTCGACGTCCTTGCTACTGAGCTATTTCAATTTGCCGTTTTTCGGTCGGGGTACGCTGCGGGATCGATAAGGGGTTGGATCGAGAAGCAGGAAGTTGTATGCGTATTGCGTGTGCATGTATGTATGTGTATGTGCGTGCGTGCGTGCGTGTGTATGTGCGTATGTGTATTGCGACGTGGTGCTCCCGCGACAGTCGCTTTCTGGTGCCACGCCCAGAGGGAGAGAGAGAGCGATCTGGTGCACACACAATATTGCGCCGTGGTAAGCGTCAGCTGCTGGACGCGATGGTTTCGCGATGCTTATGGCGGCTGATCGACGTTAAATGCAACAACTTGGCAACCCGTTAATGAGTCCCGGAGTCTAACAAGTTTTTATCTCCAAACACGATTCTTGCACGAAATCACGCAAGCTTACATCATAATCAAATACCCTATATACAACAATTTTGTACTTTAATCATTTATAAAATGACACAATAACTTTTTATAATTTTTTACAAATTTCTATTATAATTACTCTATAGTTTTGTAACATCATTTTATTCTAGAAATATTAATCGCGATTAATTACGAAAGAAAATTGTATAGGATAAAACCTTAATTTTAATATATATATTTTTGCTTCTAACAAATACAATTTTTATTCTACTTCAATCTGAAAATCTTTATAAACTTTCCGCGAATTTAATTAAAATTGTTTATTCATATGTATAATGATACAATAGTCTAAAAAATCAGAAAATAGATATATAATCAATATATAAATTGCGAACACGGGAGCACCACAGGGAATTTTTGGAAAGGTCAACCTAAGTGGTACCGGAAGTCTCCTCGCACGAGGATCTCCGGTACAGAGGACGAACGTATACGTAAAGATCGGTCTAATGCACGATGGACGTGCACAGATCCGCTGATGAATAGTCAATAATTATAACGGCAATAATAACAACAATAATATAACAAGATAATAAGATAACGATAATGAGATAAAAATTTGTGAAAAATCACAGAAATAAAGAAAGTAAAGAAACAAATGAACATACCGGTTAACGATGAAAATCAGTGGTTGGAGGATGCCGATATCTGGGCGCAGAACGGAACGACGGTGGGTTTTACTTAATTATTTTTATTTTTCTATTTATACGTGTCCCTCTCTCGAAATTTAACTCCTTTTATCTCCGGCCACGATTTGAAACGCGTGTGCGTGTAATTCCCGTAATAAATAACTTTGTACAAATTTTTTTATTTCTTCAACAAATTTCTCTATCAACGACGCGAGACTTGAAACATCCGAATCGACAATTGCGCGACGATCAACTTGGAAGCCGGTTTCCGAACATCGAATGAGAGTTTCGACATTGAAGTATCGCGAAAACGCGCGAATTCGTAGATCGGATATAATTGCGAGCACTTGATGTATGTATACATATATATATATATAACTCGTGACAGGAAATAAACAAATCTCGCGCGCGTCAAACACACCTAATGTCTCTTTTTCACTCCCACCCCCGACCAGCAAAACTTTCTCCTATATGTCCCTCTCTTTCTTTCTTTCTCTCTCTCTCTCTCTATCTCTTTCTCTCGTTTTGCCGATGTCTCTTCTGCTGATTAAAGAATCTTCCAGCTGACGATCTTGTTGCTCACGATACCGCTCTCTCTCTCTCTCTCTCTAACGCAATCGACTCCAATTTGATTTCGTCCACGACCGAATCGTCTTCGAGATATCGTGACGCGTTGCTCGGAGATGGATGAAACGATCGGGACACCAAGAAGTGTCCTTACGGAAGGACTAGTCGGGAATACGAGATATGAACGGAGGGTCGGAGGATAAATGAAATGATATAAGAACGCGGAAGTCACTCCTCTCTGCTTTAAATCTTCGACAAGCCGATTTTGTCCGGCAAAATGATCTTCCCGCACGACGTTCACGAGAGAGACAACCTTTTTCCCTTTGCTTTTTGCTCCACCGCGCGACAATTCTCGTGACGTTGTCACCTCGGCGATGACGAACGGTGACGTCGATCGAAACACGTGAACGGGACAAAGCAGTAGGGGACAACTGAATGTTTAGAGGAGAACAATAACGACGACGATGATGACAGCAACGGCGACGACTGCGTGCTTTTTTATTACGACGACGAACAATATACCGAACCGAGTGTTCTTCTTTCCTTTCTTTTTTTTTTTTTTTTTTTTTATTTAAAATTTTTTTCTTTATGCCGAATTGAAGGGTCAGAAAAATTAGGAGATATATGCAAGCAAATAGTAAGAATGTTGCGGGTATAACGGTGTCTACAACGCAATGCCTTTATGTGGTGCGGTAACTAAACTGACGAGACCGGCCCTCGATGCTGATGGCTGCACCCTCGGTTCTCATCGGGGAGGGAGAGAGAGAGGGAGGAAGGGGGTGAGAAGAGGGAGGATGTAGACTCGGGGCGAAAAGAATCGTGAAAAAGCTCGAGCGAGGGAGATTGGCGGCGATGTACGCAGACGCTGTCGTCGTCGTTGGTGAAAGGTGAAGGAGAAACGCTGGAGGAATGGGTGTGAGCAGTTAGGGAGGAGAAGAGAGATCGGGAGGGATGCGAAGGGGGTGGACGACGCGGAGAAATCGGTGATGATGGTAGTAAAGGGGTGGAAATTCGCGCAGACGTAATGGACGGTCTCCGCATACCGACCGTCGGGGGTTGCTGGGTTGTGTGCGTTTTTCGATGCACATATTTCCAAACATTACGGCTATATAGACAGATTTTTCAGTCATTATGCGCGCGCGACGTCCCCGTGATAATTGACGAGCTGAGAGAGAGAGAGAGAGAGAGGAGAGCTATTGATTAAAATGAGATCGGTCTGGGAATTACGGGAAACAACTACCCCTTCTTCGGTCATTGCACGAATAAGTGCAGTTAGATAGAGAAGGATATATAATTGTTCCATCGATCGGTTTCAGTTCGATGCCTCTCCAAAACAGTTTTTAATTCGGCGCCATTATATATATGGGCGGATGTGTACTCGGTATTTTTCGGAATTAACAATCTCAATTTAGACCTTTCGGCGATACAGTGTATATGAGCTCTGAAATGTGTCTTACGAGAATTAATATTTATATGCTGGATGAAGAATAATGAGAGAAAGGATCTCTAAATTTTTCTAGAGAAGAGTATTGTCGGGAGGTTGTATGTATTTAGAAATATAAATAATACAAATAAAATTGCGATTATATTTACGAATGGATCGATAATTACAAAAAAAAATAGAGGTCGACGTGGAAAGAGAATTTCGTTAAAATTAGATGATATTTTATAGGAGAAGAAATAACGAGAAAAGTATAAAAAAGCTTCGAGAAAAATAAATCGAAAGGTGATGGTAAAATTTTATATAAATGTTAGTTTGAAAAGGATATATAGAGTTTTAAAAGAGAAAGAAAAAAAAATGTAAAAGAGAGAGATAGAAAAGAGGGGAAAAAACACGCCAATCTTTCTTTTTTCTCTTTCAAGAGAAAGAGAGAAAGGGGATGAAAGGGGTCTCTAAGACAATAGCTACCAACTTTCGAGCTGCCATTGACAACGGTGGATTGAAAGGGGGATAAAAAAAAAGGGGAGAGATACATGGGAGTGAGTTAGAATAGAGCAAAAATTTTATTCATTTTTTCAAGTAAATAAATTTTTCAAACACAATGCGTCCTATCAATTGCATTCATCGCAGACCAATTCCGATCGATCGAGGTGCGTTACGACGGTCTGATCTTCGCGGGAAGAGTTGCCATGATTAATATCATGAGTGCACATGAACTTTTGAACAACCGTACATCGCCTCGATTATGGAGGGACCGAGAGAAAGGGGAAAGACACAGTGAGAGACGGACAGGGGTGAGAATAGCCGGCGGAAGTACAGCGCACGCGTCAAATGGAGGGGTTGATATAGAGAGAGAGAGAGAGACAGAGAGGGCTGATGAAGGATAGCGCGAGCGTCAGACAGAGGGTGGAAAAGCTCGCTTATTCTCTCGGCAAATGGCTTTTCGGTAACGCAAACGCGGCCAAATTTCATCATACATACGATGCGAATCCCGTATTCCGTTTGATCAAACTGAAACTGCACTTTTCAAACTCTCTCAGCGTTTATAATGATTTTATTGACGGAAAGATTCCGATTCTCGATGACGAGAGATCAATTTTCTGTGAGTTAATGTCATTTTTTTTCTATTTTTCTATCATTAACTGAAATTAATTATTATATTATATAATATACCGAAAACTCATGCAAAAAAATATAATTAGATCCGTAAGTAAATACAAGGCATATCACTTTATAAAATTATGCAGATTATGACAAAACTTATTTGCAGTAAATTCTCGTCATCAAATCGTCATTTTTTTTCTATTTTTCTATCATTAACTGAAATTAATACGGATAATTAATTATTATATAATATACCAAAAACTCAAACAAAAAATTTAATTAGATTCATAAGTAAATACAAGGCATATCACTTTATAAAATTATGTATAAGCAGATTATGACAAAACTTATTTGCAGTAAATTCATCATTACATCGGTTTCTCCTCCATTAGATTTATATTAGAACTTTACGCATTATCAAGGCAATATCAATGATTTAAATTCAATATAAATGCAAATGTGGGAGTATTAAAAAAATCACATAAAGCGAGCGGCGAACGTGTTTATTTCGTGACAGCAACCTCATCTGCATTCAGCAACCGTGAAGAAAAGTGTGAATATATAAGGTCTACCAATCGATTTTTTTTTTTTTTTTTTTAGATGCGTAGGTTTATTTGCTTCTATATTTACAATATTCGTTAACGCGAACCCTGTGACAAACGATTTTTTAACGAGTTACGTCATAGAGGCGAGAATCGATAAATATCGGACGCGACGATATATACTAACTGGTTTCGTTTGCGTCACATTGTATGTATATTTTGGTATTACGAAATACGAGAGATACAGACGAGCGTTGTGTGGAGCAAAGAAGTCGCCGCGGCGAAACAAAGAGAACGAGAGAAGGAGAGAGTCACAGGGGGTGAGGCAGAAAGGGACAAGGGAGACAAGGGTGTAATCTAATGGTAAATAGCACGTATGCATATAAGGGTCAGTCGAAGTGCGCCCCAGTGGCGTAGGAAACTGAATACTGCTTATTAACGTATCCTCGCGAAATATAGAATAGAGACAATTTTTTTAAGTAGGCTGAATGCATACGAAAAAAAAAAAAAATACAGAATATAAACGTGTACAATAAATAATAGAATCTCTTTACTTAATGCTAATGAGAACTCTAATTTTCTTAAAGAAAAAGAGATACTATGATATATTTCAAAAAATTACGCGCTGTTTTAATTTATACTATCTTATAATAACATAATATTATATATTATTATATATAACAACATGATCTATATTATTATATAATATTTTACGCATGCGGTTGAAAATTATGCGAAAGATCTGGCGGTGAATTTAATACTCGATGCGACTGTTATTTCGTGTATGTTACTTTATATGTATTATATACATAAAATAATTAATTATTCATTTTACAAATTTGCATACTTATGCATATATTAAGAGAATAATGTCGAAAATCTCGACATATATCGATAAATGTCAACTGGTAGCGACTGTCTCAATCTCTTTTAGTATATATATATTTACGCCACAATTCTAATTTGAGGAAATAATTTGCCAACGTTACACGTCACGATCGCGACGTTGACAGATACTCGCGCGCGCATAAAACTCGTCGATCGGCAGCGATCGATCGTGCCCAACTCCGCGAGTCTTAATCACCAAAGGAGTCTAGACACCTTCTCGCAGAGAGAGGAGGTCGCATAAATTCCGTGAGAGAGGATGGCGCGGCGGATAATTTACGGGCGCGCTTGTCCTCTTTGTGCTTCCGAGTGTCCTGGGGCGCGCCCATTCCATCCCGGGCGCGCCCCCTACCTACGCCACTGGGAGGGTAACCAGCGTCAGACGGGGCCGCCGGGGGTGAAGGGGGAAATTCGGGCCGGGGGTTGGGGAGGCTTTCGAATATCGATCTCCCCCGCGCTCAGTCATTCACTCTCTCTTCCGTGCAGCGCCATGTCCCTCTTGCTGCCACCGGTTTCGCGCGCACCCCCAGTATTCTCCCGGCGAGTGGAAGGGAAACGCGAAACAGGGAGGGAAACGCCGAGGGGAGCTTTCGCCCGGCGTTTGGTCCCAGCCAAAGCCCGGAGGAGGGCATTCACCAGGGAATGCGTCGCCAACAACTACTACTACTTATACTAGTATACTACTATCTATATCTACCACCACTAACCGACATCCCAGAAAAAATGTCCTCCGAGAACGGGAAATTGGTTTATCGGATCCTACAGGAATTACCCCTCCTGCGTTATCTAATTTGCATCCTATCTTTGGAAATTCGTTACATCGCAGCCTCCTTCACGGCTATCTAAATTCCTAGGGAAAACGAGGGTGCGGATCGATCGACGCGTTTTGGATTTTTCGAAAACTTTGTTGTAGAAATGTATATCGCGGTTTAATTTTCTTATTTTTAATTAATAATTGTACCTTTTTTCTCTCCTCTGTAATAGCTAGTTTGAAATTGTTCCCTAGATATTTATATGACACATTAAGTATACAAAATCTCATGTTGTTACCTTATTTTCATTATACGATCTTATTGTTCTTTTAATTCGATTCAATTATTCTATTTATAAATTTGATACGCTATATTCTCGAACTTATATCGACATGAGTAATAAAAATCATTGTTATTCCCCTTGTCGTCATATTCTATTATTCTGTCAAACTTACGCGTAATTCTCCGAAAGGGAAAACGTACGTCCTATACATCTTAATTCATTTCCAAGCGCAAATTTGTCGCACGGCGAACGGAGGAGTGAATAAGCGGCGTCGACATCTCGTTTGCGAAATTATTCGCGGAAATGTCATCCCGGAGCGCTCGAAGAGAATCGCTGTATATACCACCACATCCTCCCTTTTCCGTCGTTTCGCAGCCCGGATCGTCATCCCTCTCCCGGAGCAGAACCTGGCCAGGGATAGGTTGGATGGTTGCACACCTTATGGGTGTTGCACGCGCATTTAGAGGATGTATGAGACTTTGCGCGGATCCAAGAGCGAGGCTGTGTTCAGGGTGTCCAGCAGACTCCATGAAAAAAATTCCCTGATTTTTCAGATTTTCCAAGACCAGAAATTCATTTTTTCCCCGACTTTTCAGTATTATCTCTCCCAAATATATATCTGTATGATAAATCAATTAAATCATGAAATCCTTGAGATATTTTTGTCAACGATGAAAAGGAGTTCGGAAATTAAAACAAAAATTTTGATCAATTATACAATCTGCATTATGTACGATAATCGAAACGAACATGTCACTATAAACTATTTAAATAATCACCTTTTTTATTTATATTATATCAATTTTTTAGTTCGGTCTTTATCAAACACATTGAAATAAAGTAACACGAGTAGATGAACCGATTTTTAACAACACAGAAAATTAGCGTGCTGGGAGTCAAGGAAAAGTTTATATTTATTTAATAAAAAATTTTCAATTATTGAGACAAATGGAGAATAATGTGAAAAATCCAAATAAATAGTAAAATCTCCTGACTTTTCTCTGACAATTCTAGATTTATAAAATTCCCTGACGTGCCCGGTTTTCCAGATATTCCTGACTAGCTAGAACTACCCTAGTGTTACACAAAGGTAGTTTTTTATGTACCTCCTCGGCATTATCTTTGTGACGATCGAATTTCATGCACGCAAATTATGTATCTATCCTATATCTTTCCCTCGTCTCATCCTGGCATTACATAAGCACTCTAACTTGCGAAATTACGGACAGACCGGACGAGCCTCGAGAATCGGAAATTATGTGACTGGCTGTTAACTAGCGATTTAACGATTGTAGAACTGTTTAATTTTCCGACCCAAGTCACAAGCTAATTAATACTCTAATTGAATGCTAACGATAATTACACACGGAAGGTATAAAAAGTCTTCTCGTTAATACATTTTTCAAATAAATATTCTATTTTAGATGAAGAATCAATTTCCAGCTAATTCACGTTATTAATTGTTTATGATAAATTTATCGTTTGTGTAAGGGTTTCTCAGATTTTACTGTTTGATGCAGAAGGTTAAATCAAAAATACCACCCTTTAAATATTCAGCTTGTTTCCAGGCTATTTAAACAAAGGAGAGATACCTTTCTCTTTTATAAATAAGTTGGAACAAAATACACGAGATATATACGTTATTGAAAAGGAGTACATTAGATCGCGAGTGAAACCTGCTAGAATCTTTAATCCAAGTTAGTTTCATCTATATACAAAATTTATCTGGAACATTGCGGTGCAAGATAACTGCGCTAGTCCGAGTCGCGTATACATATCGATTCAACAAACCAAGGAAACCAGGATGGACTCGGCGACGTAGTCGCCCAGTGAACAAAGTCGCGGTCTGCGTGGTCCAGTCTGCGACAAGTCCCACCGAGTTCCGCCGACATGTCCGACGCCGAAGAGACCGGTACGTAAATCTATACACGTATACATGTGGTTCTTCGTACATCGTCCTCGAACCGACTCGCGAGACCTGGTTCGTGACTGCGCTATCGCAGATCTTCTCGAAGTCACGCGGGACATGTCCATTCTCGATGGATCTCGCTCGCGATCCGTCAAATCGATCGAATACGCTGTGCGAGGAATCACGCGAGGATCATCACGCTCTCTCGATTGCACCCTGACATTTCCCATCTCGCGCCACCGCCGCGCCGGTTCGAAGCTCCGTCTGAAAGAGCGAGTGTTAATACGTAGACTAGCGCCGGCTGTCAATCATTCGGTCGGACAAGTTAAGATTGGCTCTAGGAACATTAAAAATCATCGACGTTTTTTTCGTGCCGTTTCTCACGCGAAAACGAAAATTTCGTCGGTTAATCAAATGCTTTTATATGCCGACGAAGTATGCGCAAATTATGCCGCGAAATCGCATCTTGAAGTCATATTCGTGATATGAAGTGAGTGGGTAAGTTCTACGATTTATTTTCCTTTTTTTCCTGATATTGATATTTTGAAATGGAAACGACTGCTGAAATAAACCAAATTCGTCCTTATTCCTTAAATTTAAAATATCTTTTCTCGGTCGCTATTAATTATTTACTAAGGATTAATTGTTGCAAATTACTATATACGTCACGAAAAGTGATTTATGGTACAGCAAAATAATCTAGAACCTGAGATTTCCGCGATTATTCATGGATCGAAAATAACAGGCGTCTCTTATCGAATTTTAACTAAGCGACGATTCCGTGACGCAGCAATTAAAAGGGATAAATTAAACGTGAAAGATGGTTCGCGTTAATTTTTCCGAATATATAATAGAAATTGTTGGAAATTTTTATTTGATTGCATAAACTTGAATAAACTTTATAAACTTTCCGGACACTATTCGCTTTCTTTAGTCGCTATTAATTATATATTAAGGTTATCTAATTTTTCGTTTCAAAAATTTTTACATCTTTTGTAAATGTAATCGCATTACATAGAACATGATAGGTAATCGTTTATTTCGGTATAAATGTATAAATGTAATAATTAATTTAAATTTTGTAACATTTTTAAAAATATGAGATATAATATTAGTTACATTTATAATTTCTAAATGTAATTATAAATGTAACTGAAAAAATTACAAAGTTTTGAACTACTCGTGAGTAATTATTATTTAAATGATTATAAAATTTGTTATTTCTTTGAGATTTAAATTTCATATACAGAATCTTATAAGATTTCCCTTAAAGTTGTCTTTATTTAAACTTTAAATACTATTAAAGAGCAATTTTTTCAATTAATAAAATTTTTCTATCGATTCTTCAAAATAATATGTATTTAAATTATTCGCACAAAATTGATGAATTAAATCAAAATCTCTCGAAAGTGTCACACAAACCGTCATGACGTTGCTTCGAACATTAAACCTAGCGCTGACGTAAATATTCGATGGCAAAGTATTCGATGTTGCTTGAAAAAATACAATGTGTAACTTTTTATTTCCGTCCACTGAATCATTGATGACCCAGCTATACAGTATCTTGATGTAAAGCTAGTACACCTTTCCCGCTGGCAGAGAGATATAGTACTTTTAGTCACAAAGTGCGACATTTGTGTTATTATCGAGCATCGGATCCGATGGAAATAGATATCGAATGATCTAGATTTAGCTTCTGTGTATTGCCATACAAAACGAACTGTGTATTTCTATGATAAGATGCACGATAAAGACTCGGCCTCGAGGAAACTCTTTTGTATATTACATTAGTGATGACGGAAATATCTCGCGAACCTTCGTCATTTCCCCTTCTTTATTCTTTTCGCTTGTACTAAACCATATTTTTCTTTCTGAATTATAATAACATTATTTATGAATAATTACCATATATGTCATTTTCACAGATCATGATAATCTATATTTTCTTCGAACGAATATTTATCCTTATGTAAATAATTTAACTAAACGTATTAATTTTTAAATAATTAACATATATTATTAAAGAGACAAGAAATGTCTATCAAATAATTATGCAGATATCATCAAGTATAAGAAGCTTATTTGAATACGTAAATCTCATTCTAATGAGAAACCTTATTCGATAAAAAAAAACTTTGTAATGTGTAATAACACAAAGTTTTAAATAACAACCTCCACAATATTATGGTCTCTTATCAACTTCATCAGTTAATCAACTTCTAGGTCCCGGCGTGACGTGAATTTGCTATATCGCTTTATGCTCTGTTTGCCAATTCTGTAAAACTATCACGATTTTCAGCAAGTCTCTCAATCACGCTCTCCTCTAATCTCAGTTCATCTGTAATCGAATCAATCAGGGAATCATGCCAGAAACTCCTGCAGAGATCTCGTGACCGCAAACGAGTTTTCCCGGTTTATAATCGAAGGTTTGAACGAGGAGGGCATGTCGAGAGAGATCGCACGTACGAGATCCTTGACGGGCCACGCAAATTTCCTGCGAACCGATTCCCATTTCTCTTGCACGGAGAGCTCGTTCGTTCACGCGAGACTCGGAAATTCTCCAAACGAATCCGCTCTTATCATGTAGGCGGTAACACCAACCAACTAGTGTAAAGCCGATCGTCTCGCACGAAGCCGTCAGTGCTTCATCGCGTCTTCCGCCCGATAGATCAGAGTGTCGTTTGCTCTATGCTTACTCTGGTCGACCGCCTGAAAGCCGTCATTCATCAATGGTGTGCCGGGGTCACGTCGTTCGATAGATCTCTTTTCGAGTTCTTTGAGGAGCCATGGCCTTCTCTTGCGAAGGACGAGACCCTCTGGAGCACACCAGTCTTTATCAGCGCGCGGGTCAGATATCTTTGCCGTTCGACTAATTATAAGTCATAGACGTATATTTCGTATATTTTACTGTGAAATTTGTATTTTCAAATTGCAAGCCGATAAACGGTAGTTTAAAGGCGTCATTGGCATTATCATTGTTTTCCTTTATTCGACTAAGCAAAGTCTTATTATTCTAGACGATGCTCTCTTATCTTTCCATTTAATTATATTTAATTTGCGATAATCTTGTAGAAAGTGAGGATAGTGATGCCGAGGGTGGTTTGGGTAACGTGAACAAGATGGTGATGCGACCACCTGGCCACAGCGGGAAAGCTAAGAAGGGCCACATCTGTTTCGACGCCACCTTCGAGACCGGTAATCTCGGTAGGGTGGATTTGATATCCGAATTCGAGTACGACCTTTTCATCAGACCTGACACCTGCGGACCTAGGTTACGCCTGTGGTTCAATTTCACCGTAGATAATGTGAAGGCGGATCAACGAGTGATCTTCAATATCGTGAACATCTCGAAAAGCGCGAATCTCTTTCGGCAGGGAATGACGCCGTTGATGAAAAGCAGTAGCAGACCAAAATGGCAAAGGATACCGCGGGAACAGGTAAAATTTTCAAAAGTCATTAGTCACTAATTTATTGTCTATGATTGCACGGAATTTTCTCTCAGAATTTACCCTGAAAATCACTGGTAATCGTGGAACGATATATGATATTGCAAGAATTTTATAAGAGATCCTCTGATTAATATTTACCACAATAAAAAATATTAATATGTACATAATAAAATTAATCAAACATATTTTATATTACTTTGGGGTAGATATTAGTTTTTTTATTGTGGTTAATATTAATCAGAGAGACTCTTATAAAATTCTTCCAATACTATATTGTCTCACGATTACTATGATTTTCAGGATAAATTTGAAGAGAAAGTTCTCTCTGTGTATAACTTATAAATATTTTAAGTTGAATTCATTATTACATATAATTAAAATTTTTAAGTTTAAGCAGCGATAAAGAATGTTTGAAATTTATCTCAACTATGAATAAAATGTTTATATTAATTATAAGTTAAAAGAACGTCACATTTCTAAATTATATATCAAATACACGATTATTATAATAAGCAGATGCATATTCATATATATCTTTGAAGCGAATTTGTTCGCCGTTACATCGCGCGATTGACGTAAATGTTCCAATTTATTGGCAGTATTGTCGATTTAAATCTAGAGAAACTGTGTCAGAGCGAGTTCCAATATCAAATTACTTCATCGCCAGCACCTGTAGTCTTTTAAATTAGAATTATCGGCATCGTAAATCGATTGACGATTACCATCGCTGACTACGTGATTGATTGCCATTATAAATTTAATCCATTTCTTATATAAGAATGTAATAATGTGAACAATATCACATTATCATGATATAGTCTTAAAATAAATTCTCATTACTTACAATAAATTGGCATTTAATTCTGCCTTATACATATGAATTCCATTTCTCATTAGAATAATGAAGACCTTGAATATACGCGATTATTAATCTCTGTGTGATTCATATACAGATATTCATATACAGATAATTGTCAAACATAGGCTATGATTGATTAACTATCGATTATTTTATCTCAAAATAATGTAAAGAAAGATTCCATCACGAATATAAACGTGAGCAATTTATTTTATAAATAAAAAATATTTGACAAAAATTTCTCACCTTACTCCGTCATTGCTTGATTTCTTGATTTTCTTCTCTTTTCTTGTCGGTTTTTTTGTTGTTTTTCACGATATTTGTACAATACTCATTTGCTAAAAACATTGTTAATTACAAACGTACGCGCACTAATTATATTACCGACGGTTTTGTGTTACTTTACATAACACTCCCAATGTTAATTACATGACGTGCACTTTATTTTATATTGCAATGAAAAAACGCGAAATCACATAGTTGTACGATACGCTGGATATTGAAATTTACAACACATAATTAACAGTTAACGTATGTAATTAAATATAACTGTACGTATTTATATTAAACGTGTCAACTTGGAATCGACTTGTCTCTGAGACATTTTGTTAATAATAGAATAGAGAAATTCAAAAATCCATAAGTCAAATTGCGCAATATATAGAATTAATGGTAAATCAAAACATGGCAATCGGAAATTCGCGGAAATTAATTAGTCGCGTGGATTGATAATTGCTAATTGTAATGATCAAAGGGAATATTTGCGTTTGACATCTTTTAATACTTATCGCAATCGTATTTCTACAGATAATACGACACACACGGAACACCTTGTAAAGTTGTCTGTTCGATTCGAATGGCGCTGTATAAATGACAACAAGATTACAATACGTAAATAGTGTCAAGTCTTTGCGAAAAATAACGCGCTATTATTTACATATTTGTAATTCGTGCGACAATGCTTAAACAAAAAAGCATTATCGTCGTATTATCTGTCAAAACGCGATCACACATTCTCAAACTATTAAAATAGAGATTATCAGCTCGCGCAATTAATTAACTTTTTTAATTGATGATCTCAACTAGCCTTAACTTGCGTAGTAAGACATTGTTAAGAAATTGGCGATATTATTTTCTTTCTCAATCATTAATAAATATCGCAAACATATACAAAACAAATTCGAACGTTATCGTAACGTGTTGATTAACTTATATCTATATATTTATTTATTTGTATTATAAAAAGAAATAGTAAAATTAATGTAAAATATGTGCATATATTCGTACCCGTTAACAAAAATAGCCTTGTGTGAATTTTCAGTGTCGAATGAATCGTAGCAATTTTCACATTTTTTTCATTGCAATAAAAAATAAAGCGAGTATCATATACGATTTACATTGGGAAAATTTCGTAAAATATCACACAATTGTTATATTCTGGAATGCGTGCATGATGCATAATTAATGAGAATACAAATCGAAAGATATCGAGAAAACGATAAAACCGAGGGGTAAACAATTTTTGTTTATTTGTTTGATTGTTTTATTACTTATAAATTAATTGCGCACTTTTATCTTTGAAGTAATGTCTTACTTTACATTTTACATTAACGGTCGTTTATCTATGAATCAGACGACAATATAGATAAAGTAATCACGCACTTTGAGATTTAGTTTCCAACAAGAGAAATTAAATAAAAATACAAGACATAATTAAATGCTAATTTATTACTAATTTCTTTCTCTAATAACTCTTATTGTTCGCGAAATAAGTTTAAAAAATAATCAAAAAATGTTCCAATTGATATCGTTTTATGATTAAATTATATGTTAATGCAATGAATTAATTCTTTGATTTTGATATTAAAAGTTCCCTAAATTAATTATTCGAGACATATTAATGCCATTGCTCATTATTTAATTAAATAAACGATTAGAAATTATGAGAATCCTTTAAAATACCGTGCAACACTGAAATGAAACAAATTAAAACAATTTATTCTTTTTTATTGATTTTGACATGAAAATGTTTCTTGTGAATTAATTACATTTAAGATATATTTTTTTGGGGAGTGGGAGGGGGAAAATCTATTACTCGTAAAATAAAATTAAAATTAATCAATAACTTATGAAAATATATATTTTGAAAGCAATCACTCAAAAAAATGATATTGCAAGTACAGCAAAAATTTTCTAGGTATAAAAAATTAACTAAAACAGCTAAGTAATTGACAAGTATTGTCATATTGCATATGTAATTTACTTAATTTGCCTAAATAACAGAGACAGAATATATATTCCTGCTATAAATTCTATACGTGACAAACAACAGTTTTAACAGATACAAAAAACATCTAAACGTCTAACTATATCAGCGAAATATTTTTTTGAGTGATTAATTTAAAAATTCGATCTTTTTTTAAGTTAAACAATAAAACAATAAGTTTGACGGTGGTATATCTCAAGAGAAAATAATTCGGGAAATATTTTAACATTAAAATCAAAGAAATAATTAATTTGCATTAACGGTTAGTCTTGTAATAATATAGGCAGTAAAATGTTTTCGATTTTTTTTAAATTTACGACAATAAATTCAAAAATATAGTAAAATAAAGTTTTATATAGTTTCTGCCACAACCTATTTTTTCATATTGTAGGTGTTCTATTACAAATCTGCGCAGCATCAGAATCACTACGTATTAAGCTTCGCTTTCGCGTTTGATCGCGAAGATGACCTCTATCAGTTTGCCCTAACATATCCGTATTCGTACACTCGTTACTTGGGACATCTCGACAATTTGTGCAGCAGATTGCTATATACAAAGAGGGAAACGCTGGCCGAGTCGATCCAAAAGAAAAATGTAGAACTCGTGACTATAGCATCCGATCTCGAAGACACCGAACGACCTAGAAAGGTGGTCGTCGTTCTCGCCAGAGTTCATCCTGGCGAATCGCCGTCTTCATTTGTGTGTCAGGGATTGATGGATTTTTTAGTCAGCGCTCATCCTATCGCTCAAATTTTAAGAGAGTATGTGATTTTCAAGATAGTGCCAATGCTGAATCCTGACGGTGTCTTTCTCGGAAATTACAGGTACGAACGTTCCAATTATATCACGTATATTCGCGAGAAATCATTTACTTTTAATCACATTCATTTTTAGTGACTATTAGAATTGACTTTTATAGAATACATTTTAATAATTCGTTGATGAATTAAATAAATTATTTTATATATATGAAATTGATGCTTAATATGAATAAATAAATAATTTAATTTAAATGTAGTCTTGATTAATAATATAGTAGTATTAGAAATAATACACAATATAGTAATGATATATTTATTTTTAAGCAAAACATTTTTATTTTTTATGACTGTATCGCAGAATAATAATACATGATATAATATATGATGTATTATTGGCGTGATTATTTGGCTTGATTATTTGGCGTATTAAGATCTACCGTGATGGGATTGGATCTGAATCGATCGTGGAATCGTATCTCCGAGTGGATCCATCCTACTCTATTTGCGACCAGAGCGATGCTAAAATCCCTCGATAAAAATTCGCACACACCATTAGATTGCGTATTGGATCTGCACGCGCATACTAATGCCACGGGTGTTTTTGTCTATGGAAATACGTACGAGGATGTCTACAGGTAACTCTAATCTCGTTTAAATGATGGGTAAAGTAACGTGTTAGTCTAATGTTATTAGACGTTATCCGTTAAGTTAAATTCATGATCGCTATATATCGTTCTATCGAGAGAATAAGAAGTTAATTCATCAATCGAGCTTGTAATCCAATTTGACTCATGACTGCCAGCCTCTCAGGTACGAGAGGCATATCGTCTTGCCGAAATTACTAGCTCAGCACGCGGAGGACTATGAATTAGGCAACACCATGTACAATCAAGATCACAATAAAGGCGGAACTGCCCGACGTTATTTGTGCTCTATCCTAAAGGAGCACGTCAACTGTTACAGCCTAGAGGTGTCTATGTACGGTTATAATAAAAAAGGGATACCCGGTATAATGCCGTACACGGAAGAAGGATGTATCTTTTACAAATAATCGTACAATTATTGTATAAAAAATATATGAAAATTATCTTATTGCATGAGGCGAATGTTAAAAATCTTTTTTTTTTCAATTTTTATTAAATTAATTTAATTTATTAAGCTTTATTAAAAGCTTCGTGCATGAAAGTAGCAATACTACGTAATTTACGCGTTAATACGTGGACCCACTAACATCTAATTAGAAAAATTGAAAACCTTGACTATCAGAATATAGATTACAGGCTCGGTCGCAATTTGGCTCGCGTTTTTCTAGAATATTACAAGCTTACTGGACTTATCCCGTCGGGGCTTCCCGATCAACCGTCAAATAGGCGAACACGTCAATCTCGGCAGAGACATCGATTTCCAAGAGAACCTAGACTGAGAACAGTGAGAACTCCGGCGACCTTGCATCTTGCCAGCATTTATGAGTAATTATTTCAATTTTTTCATACCATATAGATATATTAGCAATATAGCAAAACTATTGCTTCTATTAGAAACCATTTATACAAAGATCTCTCATTGTTAGAATTTATTCTGAAAATCATGGTAATCGTGAAATAATGTGGTATTGAAAGAATTTTATAAGAGTTTCTCTGATATATAATATTTACCATAATAAAAATATTAATATGTATACATAATAAAATTAATCGAACATATTTTATATCTTCTTGTGGTAGGTATTAATTTTTTTATTGTGGTTAATATTAATCAGAGAGATTCTTATGAAATTCTTCCAATACCATATAGTCTCACGATTATCATAATTTTCTGGATAAATTCTAAGAGAAAATTCTTTCTATGTAACAAAGCTAAGAAAAAAGATATAGAGAGTGATGCGCGTTTGCTTCAAAGTTAATGACTGTACTCATTGTCAGCAGAAAAAGCAGCTTTGCAACGGTTGTAAAATTTGTGAATCTGATACGCTCTTGATTTTAATCGAGCAGAATCTAAGATCATGCACCAATCGGACTCGTGAATTTTACAATAGTAAAGTAGCTTTTTCCACCAAACGCAACCGATGTTTCCGTCTTTTAAATACGTACATACATACGGATCAAGCGTTTGAACGATGCAAATGTAAGACAAGATCGAGAGAGCTTCTCAGAAGTAAAGAAAAAATTGACATTTGCGTGAAAAACAGAATGAATTGAACCCCGAGACGTATTGCAAATCGGCTAATCTCGGTAATCGATATCGTCAGGTACTTTCGGGAGGAAGCTGAGCCGCTCCCGAGCGCTCGTTACCGATCGATGAGCGGTACGCGGATGGGACAGCAGCCCGGAACTGGAATCGCGAATGAAACTGGAACGGGCGTCGGCGGCGGGTGCAGGAGCCGGAGCTACAGGTTCCGGAGCCCCGGGGCACCGCTCGACAAGGTGCAGGCCCTGACGACGGGGCGGCCCGCCGCCGAGCCGCGGCTCACCATTATCGATTTCAATCAGCTGACGCGGGGTGGTTTGGAGCTCGCAGCCACCAAGAACAGATCGACGGTCCCACGCAAAAGCGTCAAGTCGCGCAGATAACGATCGTCTCGCCTCGGACTTGGTCGTTTGTAAAAAGAAATTTCTCGACGGGAGTCTGCGAATATGCTGCGCTTTTTTGATCTCCTAGAGACCGGAAATGACTAGGAAATTATTGCCTTGATATAGCTTAATAATGACGATATTGGTTTATATAGATATATCTAATTGGACGAGGAGATTAATCATCGCACATATCGATTCACGTTATTTTTAGCGACGAAAATATAGAGGGTTGCTTATGACGAGAGAGGAGTATCGAGAATGTATCTCGGAGAGTATTTAATTGTCCTGTAATAATTGTTGATCAATTAACTTTTATTTCTTTTATATCGAGTAACTTCCAATCTATATTATCAATATTAAGAAAAACACATCAATAATGTGTTTCTCTCTATTGCGCAACATTTATTCTCTCACGGATGCACGTAAACAATCAAATTTTCAACCCTTTCTCTTACACAATATATATTCTCACCTCTTCCTTCGTGATAATAAATACATTTTCTAATTGTTAGATTTTTAATGATTAAATTATATAGTTGAATATATATATATATATATACATCTTAACGTATGTTTACAGTTTCTAGCAATATACAATATATACCTGTTATATTTCTTACAGTTTGTTCCTAATATTGTTATTAAAATATGCTGTGTACTGACTCTTTACTTCTTTGTTCATAGATAAATATATTAATAAAAATAATGTTAATGGATAGCAAATACAACATTGAAAAAGCATGCTGTTATGATTATTATAATTGATACCATTTCCGAATGCATCTAGAGCACTTGATCCGTAGAACTATAATACAATTACATGTGTGTTGTAATAAACACAATCGCAACACATTGCAAACTCGTAAAATTTCAACATAATTTCATCTTATTATTATATCATATTTTCTCATTATTCTTACAATCAGATAGTTCAATCATATTTGAAAATTGATCAAATAGAAAAATTTCACGTTGAACACAAGTATCTAATGAATATATAATTTCGAAAATTCTTCGATCTTACAATTCGTTGGAACATAACGCGAGCTTTTCGTCTTGAAAAGAACAATCGAGACATAAAAAGTCTGATTCTACGCTCGTACACTTGGCTCGTGAAATCTTGATCAATCACATACTATATGCACACGTGGCGATCGATCGGATACGCTCCGGATGCTTTTTCGGAAACGGTACGCGAAAATGATAATGTCCGATTGAAAATTACACATACCTGAGAGAGAATGCGACAATTACGTTTCCTAAAACTCAACGAACCCGCGCTCGATGCACGCGCGCATTGGATGGACAGAAGACGCAGGTACTACGCGATACGGCCCGTTACACCTGGCCGGACCTAAGGATACTCCGGATACTGGACGCGGGTGTGTCCGTGCATTTAAACGTACGACGACAACGATGGGAAGGTCGGTATACTAATCGTGCTTGCGAATTCAACCACGAACAACGAACAAACGAATTTACCGTATGCGTGTATACATGGGCATATGTGTGTGTGTGTGTGTGTGTGTATGAGTGTGTGGATGGTGGATTGTGCGTGAGAGAGAGAGCGGGTCCCTGCGTATAACAACGGGTGTGTGTGGGTGTTTTGTTTTCAGATATGTATATGTACGTGTGCCGAGATATTTGCGGTTATATATATTATACGTGTATATGTCAATCAATCGGAACTGAAGAGGAACTAAAACGGAAAGAAATGAAACTATAGCGAAAGAAGGGAGCAGACAAGCGGCCAGTAGCTCTTCTACCCCTGGGCTCGAGACGGAACTGGCCCGTGGGCCGCTCCGGCGGGCTCGCGAGACCCCCATCGACGTGATCTCTCCCACCCTCTGGCAACCCTCTTCTTTCGTCGACAACCACCACCGCCGCTCTCATCCCCTTCCTCCGGTGGCCTCCGCCAGGAGTGCGTTTTCCTCCCTTCCGTACCAACCCCCGTGCATCCCCCTCGAGCTGGGCCGGATACTTCAGGGTTGGACGAGAGCAGGGCGGTGGTCGTTGAACCAGGTATATAGCGGCTGATGTCTGCGTCATGTCGGTTGCGCAGCAGCAAAGCGACCCTTATACTACACCGACGTGTTGTACCCGTCGATTCTCCCCGTCTACTCTCGGCGCGGGGTTGCAACCCCAGCGCAGCTCTCGGACGGTTTCCCAGGAAAAGCGACTAACCTCTGCGAACCCCGGGCGAAGGGAGAACGCGTATAGAGTGACGATATCGCGGGATGAAAATGCGGCGAGGCAAGAGGGATGCGGATCCTGTGCCGGTGGATTAATATCGGGGATTCGCCGGGGCCGAAATGATTTAATTCCGGATTTTAATCCGAGCTTTTATCTGCGCCTCGATATCAGATTATACAATCGTCGCCACTTTTTCACCCTTTCTTTTAGCGGCGGGAACGTTGCCAAGAGCCGGCGACTGCGAGCTTTCTTTGCTCTTTCTTGCAAGAATTAAGTGTTTTATTGCCCCCTAAGAAAAATCTCTTCTTCTTACATATACATTTATTTTCAATTCAAATTTTTGTTTTATTGAGATTTTATATTATTAATGCCGCGCTTAAGCGTTGTATATTCTTATTCGGTTCTATTTCTTTGAACTAAACGGAAATAAATATGATAGTTTCTGTTTTATCTTGAAATGAAATATTCTTCTCCGACGTAGAACCAAGTTAGAAATGCGAAAGAAAATTAATTAAATAATCTCAAAGACTTTTCATGCTTTCTTATTTGAGCACGTAAATTAATAGAAAGCAGATCTAATTTGAAATAGACAAATCGTATACGAACCCGATGATTCAATTTTTTTGAAATATATGCATGAAAAAAGAATTAGCCATCGTAGCTAAATTTTAGCTATATTACAACCTGATATTTATGGTAACTAATATTTTTTAGTTATAGTTAAAGAGAATTCTATAGCTAAAAAATATTAGCTATCATAACTAAAATTTAAGCATGATAATTAAATTTCATGTGTAATATAGGGACAGTTAAAATTTAGCTATATAGTAGCTAATTTCTTTCCGCGTAATAATAAAAATTAGAAAAAGAAAAAAAAAGATTTCAAGATTTGAAAAAAGGAGTACACTAAAGAAGATAAAGAGTAACAGATACTCCATTGAGAGAGAAAAGAGTCGAACGGAATTTTTCTGGATGTTGCGATTAGCTATGTGATTAGCTCTTCTCTTAATGGATATTTTGTTAGACCCGCAGGAACTCTACTTAACCCCATTACTTATAACATGATCATTCTTTCTTTTACGAAATTACGACTATACCGTCGTGTTTCAAGCTGATAATCAAACTAACAAAGCTATTTATATGAAATTTTATATATATATATATATATATAATAAAATAATTATTTATCGTTTTGTAATATTTAACAAAATTTTTCTTCAGTTTTTGTTAAAATGTTTAATTATATTAGGCCGAAAACATCTTACACATCTCTTTTCACGTAATTATATATACGTATATATGTATATGTACATATTTACTTACACAAAAAGAATTTTCTCTTAGAATTTATCTTGAAAATCATGGTAATCGTGGGACAATGTGATATTAGAATTGTATAAAAGAATTTTATGAGTTTGTCTGATTAAATATTTATCACAATAAAAAATATATTAATATAAACCAAAATGAGATATAAAATATGTCTAATATGTACATAGAGTAAAATTAATCCAACATATTTTATATCTTATTGTGGTAAATTTAATATTTTTTTATTGTGATAAATATTAATTAGAGAAACTTTAATAAAATTCTTCAATACTATATTGTCTCACATTATCATAATTTTCAGAATAAATTCTAAGAAAAAATTCTCTCTGTGCAAGTGAATATATATACATGTATATAATTACATGAAAATAGATCTATAAGACTGTTTTCGCCCAACATACATAATTAAAAATTTTAAGTAAAAAGTGCAGAAAAATTTTAAAATATTACAATACAATAAAATATTATAAGAGTTTTTCTGATTAATATGTACCACAATAAAAAATATTAATACCTACCACAATAAGACATAAAATATGTGTACTATGTACGTACTAAAATTAATCGAACATATTTTATATCTTATTGTGATAGATTTAATATTTTTTTATTGTCGTAAATATTAATTAGAAACTTTAATGAAATTTTTCCACTAGTATATATTGTCTCACGTTATCATAATTTTCAGAATAAATTCTAAGAGAAAATTCTATCTCTGTGCTAGTCATATGTATATATACATATTTAAATATTTATTAACATACATATATTGTCTGCTTGTGTAGATGCATGTGTATGGTCTTTAAATTAGACATATTTTTTAAATATATATTAAAACTATATATATATAATATTATATATTATAATAATATTATAAATATTTATAATGTTATAAATAACATTAAAAAAGTAATATTATAAATATGTAATATTTTATATATGTATATATACCTATAAGATATTATTGCGCGCGCATACAACATATATTATTGCGTATATGTGTATGTTTTATCAGAAGATAGATCAATGCACTTTTATGCAGCGATGAGTAATGAACAGCGTGCTGCCATCTAACGTTGTCTTTCGATATTACATGCATCTTCTCTCTCTCTCTCTAAGAGAAATTTCCGTAACAAGTAGAGACAAATTATAAAATAATAAATCATCAAATGTTCATACAGAATAATAAAATTCAATAAGTTCTTGATTGATAACGCGCCATTTTTAACAGCGCATTCTTTCGATATGTTAAATAAAGTGTATTCATATTATTGCTTTGCTTATGAGGCACAATAAAATGCGCCTAACCACACAAGAAAATAATGCGCAAATATGCTGCACATATTATATTTGATATCCGAAATCCGTGTTTTTCGTTGATGTTTTATATGTGTAAAAACGCAGAGCGTAATACATCATACATATAGACATTTTATAAAACGAGAGAATTTCGATGTTTTGCTCACCGGATTCCGGCACCTCACTCGAATAAACATACCGTTGTTCATCACAGCATGAGGCCAAGATGGAATCCGTAGCTGCATCCTTTATTTTTCCGTTGAGAGAAAACCCTGTGTTAATAAAAAAAAACCGTTACTCTCAACAAAAGACACTTTCCCTGAAGGAATTTTCTGTGTAAATTTTCTACCTTTTGTTCGAGCCACAGTCGAATTGTTCCTCGAAGATCCTACGGGGGCTCCGACCAATCGCTTCGCCTGTCGGTGACGTTATGCGCGCCTCCGCTGCTCGATGCGCGCACGCGCGACCTATCGATAGCCGTCACCGGCGCGAAGTTGCCGTCGAAGCGCGCTCGACGACAACTGCGCCTCCAGTGGAGAGTCGTGGAAGTTTCAGTAGCTCGCCATGTTTTTTACTGAGTGGGGTGTGTAGAAGAGGCCGGGGTGAAAATCATCTCTCGAGAGGCATGCAGGTACGTTGACGAATTTCGAAGTTACCGTATTATCGAGGCGAGGAC